GGGTCGCCACAGCGGATCATCTGCCAATATATCCACTACCCCTCCCATTTGTGATCCGCATGTTTGTTTTGGCACAAGTTTTATGCCGGATGCCCTTCGTGACGCAACCCTCACCATTTATCCGGGCTTGGGACCGGCACTAGAGCTACCCAAAAGTGTATCCCTAGTGGCTGGTTTATAAAATTAACTTAAAATAAATACATTTAATTTGTTTTATATGATTGCACAATGTGGCAGGTGTTGGCTCAGGCTGTGTCTCTGTGCACCCCCATTGACCCCGTTTCTCTCACTGATTAGCAATTAGCATGTAGGGACCTAATTATGCTAAATATAGACTGTAATAATGAAGGCACAATAAAAGCTTTGAATATGTCTGTAAATCAGTGCTCTTATACAAAATGAGACATGAGATTATTCCTGTTATTATGTACTTCAGTGGTGTAAACAGTATTACAAGGCAATCTTTACAGTTAACATTATAACCAGTAGAAACTCCCACTAGTCCCCATCAGAATGTTGAGGGCCCCTGAGATCATCGATTGCCTGCTTGCAAGCATCAAGTTAGTATGAAAACCCAAATTCAATTTTCTTGAATCAGATTTCTTTTTATTGAGATCATAATTACAGTACATACAGTAGAGTACAACTGGACGACAAAGTGAATGTGACACACAAAACAACTCATTATTCATGGAGTGAGATTGTGCATGTTGTTGCATGTATAATGACAATGTTACACTAACGCTAACATAAATATTTAAATCATACACGCTACTATAACCTGCTTATTGCTTTCACTCCTCTGTGCTCCAACAAATGATCAGTTGCATGTAGAACATTACAGTGTCCAGTCGTCATGACAGGCTGCAGACCAAACTGTACGGAGGTAAAGGTTTGCAGCTTGAGCTCGTTCCTACCATAGAAATGTACAGTGTGAATGTTTTATTGAGAATTCTCAATAATAGTTCAAAGCAAACTGAAAAACAGGGATGAGCAGTTTTTGGAGAGTGTTTGTGTGTGTTCACGGTGTGCTGAGGTACATCTGCAGAGCAGGGGTGAAGATGAGAACAGTTCCCAGTATTGACACTGTGAGGAAGGCCCAGAGGAAGATCCTGTCCAACACCTGAGCCACAAACTTCCAGTCTTGTACAACCTGAGAGGGAGAGAGAGACAGATGAGGGAGGCAGACAAGCGTAGCAAGAGAGACAAAAGTCCGCAGACATGAAACTGTTTCAGCTTCAAGTGTGTTCACAGTGAAAATGTCCTGCAGCCAGGACACAACACAGCCCCCTGTTACTATGGAGAGCAGATTAAATCAGGAGACACATTTTAGGTTGGCTGTAACATGTAAAAGTGTTAAATGTAACACAACATGCACTGAAACACATTCATCCCACACTATCCGTCATGTCAGCCCGCTCTCACACCTCTCGTATGAAGTGCTCCTTTTTGATGTGACGGCTGATGTAGCGCACTGAATTCGTGGCTTTCTCCAGCATGGCCAGCCAGGCTTGGTTCTCGTCCTCCTTCCCCACTCTCTGTTGGCTGCCACTGTGGCCAGGGACCCCCTTCCTCCCTGTGCCTCTGCGGGGCTTCGGCTCCGGGCTGCGCATCTCCATATCTGGATAGTGGTATCTGCATAAAACAATTATAGTTCAAATAATTTTCAGATATTGAAAATAGTCCATCCTGTCATATCTGTAGTACCTGTCAGTGTGGCCCCTCATACACAACAGTCTGGGTAGTCTCTGGAGGAAGAGGCTCTTTACCCAGGGGGCCATGGGGTGGTAGCTGGCAGAGGAGCGGTGGTGGACGTTAATGACAAAGACGGTAACGATGATGGAGAAGGTGACGAAAATCATGATGAATAGCAGGTACTCTCCAATGAGTGGGATTACCTGGGCCAGAAAAAAGAACAGAGGATTATTTTGTTGTCTTTTTGAAAACATACTTAATTAATGTGTGTTATGTAGAATTACACCAGTACTATTTGTCTAGATAAGATATTGGCTGCATTGGATATCCATCAGAACAGTTGTGCAGACAAGTTTCCTTTGATTGAGGAGCATCTTTAAACGTAGGTCGCTCCTTTCTCATACTGATCTTGAGAAGGTCATCCATGCTCATAAATCATCTCGTCTTAATTATTGCATTTCTCTACGTTCAGACTTCAGCCATAAATCAATGTCACGATTCAGTTAGGTCAAAACAATCCTGCTCATCTTTGACTAATGATAAGAGAGACAATTACACAATTCCTGTTCCTTTCCTCTTATCACTCTCTTACCAGTCAGTTCTAAAGTTCATTTTTAGATTTTACTGATCGTTTCATATCTCAGCTCCTAATTATGTTGGTGAATTGTTGCAGCCCAGGAGCCAGAGCACAGCTTCAGATCAATGGGCAGGGTGTCTCTGGCTGTTCCTCAGACCCTTTTGCTGCCAGAGCCCCTCAACTCCAGAACCCCCTGTCTGATGCCTTGTCGATAAGTACATGGGTAATCTATATAAGATAAAACCCTTTTTAAAGTCATTGTTGTTAGCCTGCCAGGCTCCTGATTGGGTATGTGGCTTCACGGTGAGGGTTATATAGCTGCCTGTTGTAACTTCAACCGAGAGGGTTATGTTTTAACACCTGTCCATTTGTTTCTTAGCTGGCTTGTTTATTATTGTCAGTAAGATTTTACAACCAGGTGGAAGGATACAGTATGGGTAAGGGAAGAACCCAATACATTTTGATGCAGACCCACATTTATTTTCCCCTTTATTGAACATCGCGAGAGAGCATTTTTCAACATTTTCTCAGGGAATAACTTATGGATCTTTATGACAAACTAAATTTAGGGAACTGTTCTCGATTAGAAATGTAGTGCAGCTAGATTGAATTTAAGGGGACTGTGGGGCCTGGGTGGAGGTATGAGCTCTTCTGAATGCCATTCTACTTTTGGCATAATGACAGTTTAATAACAGGGTTGAAAAGGCAAAGGAACAAGGATCTGAGGCTGCAGAATCAGTTCTTATATATATTCTAT